GACAATACACGCAACAATGCAATGACCGGACTCGGGAAACAAATGGAAACGCGGACTAAATACAATGAACTAATGACAACAATCAGGAACAGCCATAAAACACTGGGAATCCACATGAGGTGAATGAGGGGGGCGTGGCACAGAAGGATCGGCACGATCGGGGCATGACAGTATCAGAAAAAAACAAAACTTCGGACAAAATATACTATAAAACAAAATGTCCAGTTTGATGTGTGGCCCAATTACACGGGGATGTAAATAACGGCCGTATCAGAAAAACCAAAACTTCAGACAAAATATACTGTAAGACAAAATGTCCAATTTGATGTGTGGCCCATAGAGTTCACCGGGGTGACCTACCGGGATGTAAATAACGGTTGCATCAGAAAAACCAAAACTTGAAACAAGAAAAAAAGGGGGGAAAACCCTCACTCCCTACCACTTTCACACGCACACACCCTAACTGCTGCTGCTGCAGGAGGGTCAGCTTTCACAGACACAACAACGGACACACACCCAAACTGCTGCTGCTGCTGCAGTTTATTGGAGGATAGCATCAGACCCACCTCCTCCTCCTCTCATTCTTAGCTCCAACTTTCTCCAAATTTTCTCACAGTTTCTTTCAGACTCGCGCAACACTGGGATAGGCTCCAGCATCAGTCTCACAATCTCAGAGTCCTTTGCAGAATCTCCAATTACAACATTTTTACACGCTCCGGACCGACCGGGACCTTCCCACAGTACCGCACCACAGGCAGACCCCACCGTACGCTCACACTCCATCAGGTAACCGACCCACTCAGCTATGCGCTCAGCACCGTCAGCCATCACCCTCACAGCATGCAGCTATTCCGACACTCATAAGCACACGATTCACTGATGAAACTTAATTTCACTCTCCCCACTAGTCAAAATAAAATAATTAAATAATAATAATAATTAAATAATAATAAAATACTTTTTAAAATAATAAAAATAAATAATTACAATTAAAATCCCCTCTCCCAACATATGGAAATAATTAACGTCACTAGTCGTTGCGTCACCTGGCTCCACCCCAACCCCGCCCCACCAGTGAACTTTTGACCAGTAACCTTTTGACCTTTAGGTCATAAATCTTTTTGAAAGAAGCGGCATTATCTATCTCTCTTTTGACCATTAAACATAACATTCACCATTAAGTTTCCAAAAGCCAAACCAAACAGCATTTTATATGATAGGTGCTCTGTTGATGCTACGTATTCAAAAGAGGAGTCAAATCATAAGTCGCCATTAAGAGTTATTCTGTCCTCCAAAGGCATACAAAAGTATAACATTAAACCCAAAACTTTTTAAACATCACACACCAATTTTTCGACCCGTATCAACTATCCTCCTTTAGCCATCATCACTGATTAGCTCTGAACACAAAGTTCTCCCTTATCTGTTGGTAAAATGCGTCTGCTGTTGCTGGAGTATCAAAGTGAAGATTGTTATTGTCAAGGGTAATGCAGAGATAAGCTGGGTAGCTCAGGACAAACGCAATTCCAGCCTTATACAATTCAGTCTTGATGTACTTGAATGCTGCACGCTGCTTGGCCAAGCTTGTACTCATATCAGGGAAGAACAGGATTTGTTGTTGTCGGACTTGATATCCTCTTTCCGCGACCTGGCCCAGTGAAGCAAAGGGTCTTTGTCCTGGAAGAGGTGAAATCTTACAGTGATGGCCTGTGGACACTGGCCCTGGTCCAGTGCTCTGTCCAGCTCTGGTGGTTTTGGGAATGTCTCATTTCTGATGATATTATGGAGGAGCTGTGAGACAAATTCTAACAGCGAACCTCCTTCCATCCCCTCAGGTAAGCCCATGATTCTGAGATTCTGCCATCTGGATCGATTCTCAAGATTTTCTGTTAAGACGGCATTTGCCCGCGTCTCGTTGTTAGCTTAGCTAACCCTTTTCTGGGGTCAGTGAGTTTATTCTCTATGACCATTATCTTTCGATTGTGTGAGTCTAATGCAGCACTAATGGTGCCAAGAGATGCCTGTATAGATGTAAGGGAGGTCTCCAGAAATGTAGAAAGGGATGTTTTAAATTCTGCAGCCAGGCTCCCTCATTTTTTCTTGAGTTCCCACGCTAGGTTAGCAACTGTTAGCGAATCTGCCATCTTAGTCACCAAGGCTGCTTGAATTACAGTACTATTTCCTTTGGTTTATCACTGCTGTCTCGATATTGTTGGATGACTAAATTGGAAACAGAATACACATGTTTTCTTATTTATATACATGGTAAATACAAAACATGGTAAACCCTTAAATGTTACACGAAAAATCTGTGAAAATGTGGGACCTGTCCCTCAGAGTGACCACTACAGAAGTCCCCGCTTCATCTTTGAATGTGTTGTGTTGGATCATCAGTGCACCATACCACCATGCAACATGAGTGTGTACGTGGCTGACAATAAAAGTGCAGGTAGGGAGAAACGAAAAGTGTAAAAGAAATACTACTTTCAACCATTAACTCAGTACCCAGGCTAGATGGGCACTAAAACAAATGATCATTGTGCTCTTGCACAAATGTGACCAGGTGAAATTTTAACTTGTACACTCAAAAAAATAATCACATATGCAATTATTTTGCTCGCAGTCTACAGCCCTGCAGCTCACTCAGGTCAGGTGGCTTCACAGGGGGCGGTGCGAGATGTCGAGGGCTGTCAGTCTGAATAACACTGACTCCCTGAGCGCGGGGAGTAGGGCGGGGGGCGACCACAGGTGCCAGGGTGATGACAGGCCCTCCCCGGAAGCTCAGAGTCCCACACTCTAGGTCTAACCAGCAGCCTGTAGCCCTGAGGAAGTCTAACCCCAGGATGCAGGGGTCCTGTATTGCTGCTACCCACACTGGAGGATGCATGATCTTGCCCCCAACAGCCACAAACAGCATCCCCCTGCCTTTCATGGAGGTTACCTCACCGGTCACCATGTGCAGCTGCACAGAGGTCAGCTCCAGCTGAGTCCAGGCTGCCCCACATCAGGCCTCACCACTATGGCGGAGCAGGGGACTCCCTCCACTGTGACAAGGACATGGCAAAATTCCCAAGCACAGGTGTGACCCACCATTGCCACCGGGGGCAATCATAAACTTCTGGGTGGAACGGGGTCAGACACCCCCATCTGTGTTTCTGGGCCCCTCCTGCAGCAGGTGGTGATGGGGCGAGTGTGCTAGGGGTGCATGCAGTCCCCTCTACATGGATCCTGTGCTGTCTCCCTGCACTTGGCCCTGCATGGGTCATTCCCTGAGGAGGTGGTCAGGCTGGCCACACCCCCAGAAGACTCTGCGGCCCCAACATGGGGGCATTTCGCCTGGAGCCACGTGGCCCATAACAGCTCAGCCACTTTGGTCGCCCACGCGAGCCTCCCCAGTTTTCCAGTTTTGAGCCGTCACCACAGGCAGCCCATGCAGCAGGTGCATACTCTCTGGGGGGGGGGGGCAGGGCGACTCACCCCACACAATCTCTCTCTCCAACGCCTGCCCCAGGGCTGCCTGCAGGGGGTGCATTTCCTCCGGCTAAACATGGACCAGCTGTTTATGGGAAAGAGCCCTTGGGAGTTCGCTCTGTACGGTGGGGGGCGTGTGTGTAATCCCGCCCCCCCAGGTCCTCAGTGTCGTTAGCTGATGCCCAAAGAGACTCAGCTGGCTGTCTGCTGTGACCCCCAGGGTTACTTTTCCGGAGGTCTGGTTGAATGCACTGCCCAAACCGGCTCTTGGGAGCCCCCTTTAGTGCAGCATAGCTGTGTCTGTCCCCAGTGCTGAGTAGTGAAAGGTAGGACAACATTGTCCTGGCACATGGTCAGTTGCAGGGCCTTTTCCACCAGCAATGCCCCCCACATGCACTGTCAGCTCAAACTGAGTATAGGATGCTTCCCAGCCTGACCTTCCTGAGCACTTAGAGGTTGCAGCGTTGCTGAGACCGAGCTGATGTGGAGGGTGAACCGGGATAGGGGCAGTAGGCGGAGCCATCCTGACCATGTCCTCCCTCAGGCAGAGCAGGCTTCGATGCCTTGTGTGTCGTGACACGTTACTCATGTGACTGTTATTAAAATGATCTGACATTTGTGCCACAATGACCCTTGATTAGACAGGATCGCCTTCATTCACATCTCCCTTCGATCAGTCTTGTCCACCCAACACCCTGTCAGCAGATCATGGTTTTTCCCTCCTCAGACTCTCTCAGTAGGTTCTCACCACGGCTGGCTGTCAGCTCCCCACAGGCCTTGCAAGAGAGATGCTCTGACCCAGTCGTCTGGCCATGATAATTTCACCCTTGTCAATGTCACTCAGATCTTTATCTCTGCCCATTTATTCTGCTTTCAACATTTCGAGTATCAAATGCTGTCTAATATGTCCCAGACCTTGACATGCGCCATTTTCACATCACATGGGGGTAGTCATAATGTTTTGGCTCATTAGTGTTTTAATATAATAATAATACTTACTCTTTTTCTTAATATTCCAGTAGTCTGTTTTTATTTTTGCACTGTGTACTTTTTAATTTATTGGTGCCAGCTTTACTTGTTATCATTGTGTCTTTGCACTTTGTCTGTTTTGCTCTATATGTATCTCTGTCTGTGTTCTTCACACTTGCTGCTATTTGTGGAAGAATTTCCCCTTGGAATCAATAAAGTTTCTCTTAGATTTCATAAAGTGTCTGTATTCTTTAATACTGTTTCATAAACATAACATGAGCTGAACACAACACATTTGTGTATTCTGAATATGTAACACAGGTGCCTGTATTTCAGTACAACCCAACCATGGTATCATGTGACTGGGAATGTATGAATTTTACCTTTATAAAGGGAGCCAAAGGAAAGACAGCGATTGTTTAAGGGTTTCAGGGACAAAACCTTTGATTTATTAAATGCTGACACTCATGATGTTAAATGTTGTATCTGCAATAGTTTTAGGATGTGATACTTTGTGGATAATTAGGCACCTCAGACTAATGTAATCTTTCTGTTTTCAGAATATTCAATTCCAATTGCAGTAGCTGCTTTGGGAATCTGTGCCTGCATAATTATCAAGGATTATTTATGGAATTATGAAAAAAAGCGCTTGCAGGGATTTTACTGTAAGTATGAAACTTTGTACTGAACCATATTCAGCCTGTTTGTTACTCATAATTTACATGCAATTACAGTCATCAGAGTGCAATTAAAATCCATGTAGTTCTCAAAATTTGATTCTCCTCTGATTATATGTATATCTTAAAATTGTAACACTTTGCATAATGATGCTTATTGAAATATTCATTTCATGATTATATTTTAGCAAAATGTAAGTATTTTCCTTATTTTCTATTTTCGCTATTCTTTAAATAATACAAATTGACCTGCATTCTGCATGAAACACCCTTAAAACCTTCTTATATACGACCGTGATGATACATTATAACAGTTTATCATCATGAATGTTTCCCTGGTATTTTGCTGCTTATCCCTGGTTCTTTGGAGGCGCCATAATAAGCCCTTTATTTATTCAGTAAGATGTTCCCCATGCGGCTGAGACTGCAGCCTCTCCTAAGTGTCGCCTCTCCTCTCTTCTCTCTCCTGAGCTACCTTACAGCCTCACATCAGCCTTTCTCCTCATCATCCTGATGCCTCCTGGCCTCATCTCCCCATAATTGTCCTATAAGCTGCCCTATTGTTAGCCTTCATTGCTAACTGTTAGCATTCCACTCAGACTCAGAATAAAACAGTGGGAAAGTACAGCTCTGGATGATAAACCACATAACATTATACACCATACCTTCCGGGGTCACAGAGCTGGGCTTCCTGAGTGACCCTGACAAAGGCCTAGGGCTGTACAATGTCACTTCACCATTATGTGATGCATCACAATAATCACCAGGGCTGTAATTTTTGTGGATTACTCAGGAGGAGCTGCCATACTGTAGGTATAGTTCAGAGTAAGGTTCTGAGTATTATGATGCTTGTTTTAACATTAGAGTGTTTACAAGGGTAAATGGATCGTATAGAGTGAAGATACAATATCAGTCCAAAAATGTTGGAACTATAACGAGAGTTCTGGGACATTCTCATTAGGACGTAAAATTTTACGGATGTAAAAATGTGTCCGGACGCTGGCTTTTTGGTACTATGTGGATGTTTACTTACCCCCATGATTTGATAAACAGATCAGTAGTACAGCTAAAATATAAATGAGAGACATATTTTGATGCGCGGAAGTTAGTAATCTGTATAAATTCAGCATATCCTTATGTTTAATAATCATGTCAGTCTTTAAACTACAAAAAGTACCACCACATCATCAATGTCTTTTACCTTGTTTATCCACAATATCTCCTTTTTTAAAAGGTGTTGTGGCCGCTGAGCTGTCCATTTATTCACAGCAACTTATTGCTTATTGCTTCCATGATTTACCAAGACAGTAGCATCTGCTGTGCTTCGCTAGCTGAATTTAATAAACATAAGGATTTACTGAATTTATACCTTGTGTGTAATTGCGGGCATAAGCAGACGTTCTGATAGTGCTGAATAACTGCCGCCTGGTCAGATTCTTACGCCTGTCATCTACAGCCATAATGATTATTGCACATGCACAATATAATGTGACATCATGCAGCCATTCAAAGGCCACAGCCTCAGTCTTTCTGCTGCATCCTAGAAAGTACAGACACACTTTTATAAGTGATGTTAGGGTCCATCAGCAAATACCTTCCTTCTGTCCAGATGGTGATTCTCCCTATTTAGGCAGCAGTACAAACAGTACATGGTGTCAGAGTGGATATATCAGAGTTCTGTGTGCAGAGCAGTTCAGCTTTAAGTGATGAGAATATATCATGTACAGTGACCTGGATTTAGTTTCATTACCTGTTTTTCTGTTAACTTTTATATTATTTTCCTCCATTTAAATATTACAATCCAAAAAGTCGTTGTGCAAAATCATTTCTAATAGTAAATCAAAATGATGTTATACATAACTAAAAATAAATAAAGGTCTTAACTCAGTTTTTACAACCTTCTCTAATCTTTTCTTCAAGTTAAGTAAAGAAAAATCAATGTAATTGATTGTAGTTGAAACCAGTAGTTGTGTAAACTGCTGTCATATAGGCTAATTGATTAGGTTTGGGTTTTACTCAAACCTAATCAATACTGCTGGTTCCCCCATGACAATGACAGCACGGCTGACACTATGGGGCGCTGGGGAGAAGAGGGCAAACCCGAAGCCACGCCCACTAGTACCCTCCTCCTTACTGGTGGGCGCGTCCTTTTACTGGACACGAAGTGACGAAATGTTCCCGCAATACAGGCACACCCGGGAGGAAAAATGCTGCTGCCGTTCGGCAGGTGATAACCGAGCCCTGTGAATCTGCATTGGCTCGGGCATGGCCTCTAGGGGGCTAACAGTGGACTCTGCGGGTCGAGAAACACGTGCTCCTTCCCGCCGTTCCCTCTCGCGCTGGGAAAGCCGGTTGTCCACGCGGAGAGCCAGGTCGATGAGGTCCTCTAAATCATCAGGATGATCGCGAATGGCCAGCTCGTCCTTAATGCCTTCAGACAACCCCTGGTAAAAAGCATCAAACTGAGCTGTCCTTCCCCATCCGCAAGACATAGCCAGGGTTCGGAAATGGATAGAATACTCAGAAACGGAGCGATGTCCTTGGCGAAGTTGCATTAACTGCTTCTCTGCCGGATTTGGAGCGATCGAAAATGCGCCTCATCTCTTCCGCGAAGCTGGAGAAGCGCGCACAGAACGGAGCTCCGGTGTCCCAGGCTGCAGTCCCCCATTCCCTTGCCGGTCCGGTGAGCAGCGTAATTACATAAGCAACCCTGGAGCGCTCCGTCGGAAAGGTGGAGGGTTGTAGTTCGAAAACAATTGAGCATTGTGACAAAAAGGTCACCGAATCCCCATTGTACTGACTGGGAGGTGACAGGCGAGGTTTGTTCGTCGATCGGCTTACCGAAGCGGCGAGGGTACTGGAATGAAGCTGCTGGACCTGGGAGGCTAATCCCCTCAAGCCTGCGTGGAACGTCTCCAGGGATTCCCCGATCGCCGATAATTCGGCCTGATGCTGTCCCAAGATAATCCCCTGTTTACCCAGGGCGTCCGTAACGTGCTGGACACCATCCTGATCCGCTGGGTCCATCTTGTTGGCGAGATATTCTGTTGTGAAGGCAATATGACAGACACTGACGCGGCAAAGCTGTAGGTCTTGTTGTTTTATTAATACCCTCCACAGAGAAGTCAGAGGTACCTGGGGCTGAGCCCGAAAACGTAGCTGAAACTAAGGCGGGGAGATTGGATGATTGGTTTCAGTACAGATGAGGGAGAGACGCAAAACACGGTCGAGAATCCAGTCAGGGGTCGTGCGATAGACGTCGGTCCAGACGTCAGGCAGAGGCGAAAAACACAGTCGAGGGTCCAGGCAGAGGTCGGGCAATTGGCGTCGGTCCAGAAAGGGGGCAGGCAGAAACTCGGAGTCTAGGAAACATAGCAGAGGTCAGAACACAGAGAAACACACACCAGAGAAAACACTCAAACTCAGGGCACACCATGAAGATCTCGCACCGATCAGAGAGCCGAGTTGCCTGATATAGTGAAACCGAAACCGGGGAAAACAAGACACAGCTGGGAGAGGAGTGTCTGGAACGGGAGCAACTGGTATGGCCAGAAAAACTGGTTGACAGGACGCGAAACCTCGGGGAAGCCCTATCGATTGGAACCCCCAGAGGGGCGTGGCTGACACGACGATGAGGATTCCTCAGTGCTATCCATGACATAAGCCCTTTGTTACTCAAACCTAAAGTACCTCCAAAAACACATTAATAAATTTTTTTAAAAAAAGAAAAAAAAATGCTGTTTCACATATTTGGGAATAAACTATCAATCCTTTTTCACAATACAAGATATCTCTGTTTATAAAGTAAGTGGTAAATGACACACGCATGTCAGAG